CAGAAGGGTTGGATGATGAAGTTACACTTTCAAGCTGGCTGATCATCTTTCCAAACTTTTCATATTCAGCTTTCATGGCTGCCAATTGTGCACTGGCAGACTCAACCTCTGTATCTGTACTTGTGGCTGTATGTGCACTTCCTGCCTTTCTACTATCATTCTTCTTCTGGAATCGGRTAGGGACAAGACTGGGATGCAATTTCTAGCACTTGTCCTTGGTGTGTTTCGGCTTCTTGCAATATTCACACACCACCTCCTTCTTTCCTGTGCCACTGGGAGCTCYTGTAACCCCTTTGGGCTTAATTCCCATATTTGCAAAATGATCATTGGTACTGACTCCTTGAACTTGCACTTGCCTCCTACTTTCTTCACTGCTAACCAAAGCATATGCTTGAGACAATGAAACATCTTCCTTGGACAAGATGTTTTGCTTTGTAATGTCATATTCAGAATTCAGCCCTGTCAAGAACTCAAAGACCCTATTCCTTTCAATCAATTTCCTGTATGTTTCAGCATCCTTAGGGGTATCCCATGTCACAACCTCTATCAAATCAATCTCTTGCCATAGAGATTTTAGGGTTGAGAAGTATGCTGCAAGTGACTTCTCCCTCTTTCTTAGATTCTTCACATCACTTATTAGTTTGTAGGCTCTGGCAACATTCAACTTCTGGGAGTAAGTTTCTGCAACACTATCCCAGATTTTTTTAGTCGAGTTCATCCACAAATAATGCTGACTAATCTGTGGCTGCATTGAGTTCACAAGCCACCCAATCACTGTGTAGTTTTCTTGCACCCATCTCTCATAAGATGGATCATTCTCTGGAGGAGCTTTCTTGCTCCCAGAAATAAAACCCCATTTTCCTTTGCTACAAATATGGATTTTCACTGATTGTGACCAAGCCAAGTAGTTGGTCCCATCAAGTTTAACTGTAGTTATAGCCAACATAGAATCGGATGGGGTTCCCAAAATCTGTCCATATCCAGCAGCATTCTTGTTTTCAAGGCTTGAGAAATCCATCATGTAAAGGCTCCAATTAGGATTTTCAATAGGTTTCCCAAAGTACTGGGGGTCTTGATGAGTTTAGTTTGAGCTGAATAGGCAACAACAACTAGCTCACAGAATCAGTTCAAACTTGATAACTATGATAGTCCAGTTCGGTGGTAGTTCTTTCTATATTGTTTCAGCCTTCAAAGGACACCCAACAAACCTCCAATCACAAGGTATTTCAGGTTCCCAACAGCCGTTGTCCCAAAGAGAAGAAAAAAAGGCCACAGTCCTTAAGAGACCTTTYGTCGAACACTCAATGTGCAGTAGTTACAGCCTACTGTTAACTAGAAGAAACCACTTCAAAGTGTTCAGTATAGGTCCAAGAAGAGGCTGGGATGAAGATGAGACTAGTACCACTTAGTTTAGATCAGTTTCAGCAGCTTGGCAGTCCAATAATCAGCCGAATAGCACTTCCAAAACAACCCAGAAATTTCTGAGTAGAATCAGTCCATCAA